AAAGTTATAGTCACCTGCTGTAAATTACTGCATGGACAGCCTCAGTTCTGAGAAATAGTGTGTGTCCGTCAGGATTAATGAGCTAACAGCTAGCCCAAACCAGACAGGAACAAAAGTGTAAATAGCTTCTTAGAGAAGCTTCAATCTCCTGAATTAAATTAAAAACCTGACCGTTTTCCAGTTTTGGAATTTTGTGTTCCTTAAAAGTGTAGTTAACACCAGCAGAAGCAACATGTGGCACTTCTAACACAACCAGAGGTTTAGTCCAAGAAGAATGTTTTAAAGTTGCTAAGTATGGCTTTAACTGCATTTATTAAAGTCTAGTAGCCCAAATCTAAATCTGATGTACACGTTGAGATGGCGTGTGTCATGAACACCTCGAGTTCCAAAAGGCAGAAAATTGGACAGAACACTAAGAAAATAAAACAAACAAACAAATGAATGACCCAAACATTTTGCCTCACCTTCAAACATCTAGGATGAAAGCAATAAATATGCTTTGGAAATCTGCAGAGGTTTTTCTGGACTCTTCCATTCTTTATGATGTATGACTTAGAACATATACTGTTTCCTAGAAGGATGTTGCTGGAAGATGGGAATGCGACAAAATACCAACTAATATATAAGGGGTGTGATGCTGAGAGCCTGCTGGCCTTAAGGAACATATGTTATATCATAGGAACTGGTAAAAGAAGGGTCATCAAGTTGTCCACTAAGATAACAGAGGATGTTTCAGGATCATGAAAAGTTAGGTTTAACAAATCCCTGTGGGTTGAATGTATGAGCGAAGAGCATCAGGTTACTAAAACACCCTTGTTGATCCTTTGATGCGTTGTGGATAATGCTGTTCGTCCCTTTGCTGTTTAAATCCTGCGGCAGATTTTTCTTTAAGTTTTCAGAAAATTAGGCTGAAAGAGAGAACAATGTAAGGCTTTGAGTTTCCTTTTCTTCCCAAATCTGTCTTGCAGATGTTTTGCATCATGTTCTCTCCTCAATGTTCTAAATCTTTCAGCATCTCCTGTGTTCTCTCTGATTTTAGAAGCTGGATTAGTCTTCTACAGTTGCATGCCTTATAAAATGCTGTGTTTCTTACTGGTCAGGATTAGGACCCACACCCATGTCAGGTACTGAATTTATAGAAGTTTTTTTTATTTTTCCAGGCTGACCAGTTGCCAGTGTGGCTGAATCTACATTTACGTGTGTTCTAAGTTGCTTTAATCTTGTTGCTACATTTGTTGTGTCACTCCGGTTACCCCTGAGACCGAAACAATGCCAGGTTACGATAAACAAAGCTGCCATCTTTTACGTATTCTGCTCACTTGAATACTTTCAGTGCCACCAAGATTCATGTCAGAATAATTTAGTTCTATTTGTGTGTACAACAGGAGCTTTTCAGACTCAGGGTGAAACACATCCTCACAGGAATAGGCAGCAACATGATACCCAGGATTTGGAGGAAGGACACATCATTAGTTTTTTTTTGTTTCTCTTTTTTTTTTTTAGCAGAACTGAACTTTTGTGGCACTAGGAAAATAAAATGTTTCTCTGGGCAGCCTAGAGAAAACCCTATTCCCATGGGCAGAGTGTTATGTGCTGAACTAGAGGCTGGTTTGTGACAACCAGGGTTTCTTTCTTTCCTTGTTCAGTCATGTTGACTAATGACAAGACGTTGCAGTTACCCAACTGCTCTGTCCTCCCCTGCTGTAGGAAGAATGCATATGGTGTGAGTGTGTGTGTGTTTATGTGTGTGTGTGTGTGTGTGTGTGTGCGCGCGCGCACGCGTGTGTGTGTGTGTGTGTGTGTGCGCGCGCGCGCACGTGTGTGTGTGTGTGTGTGTGTGTGTGTGTGTGTGTGTGCGTGTGTTTTGTAGATTGAGCCATACTTTGGAAAGTGAGAACAGTACTTGTCAATGAGCAAAAAGCAGCTGTTTAAACGTAAACAGCACTCTGGCATGACTGAATTATTATAAACGAAAAGCAAGTGCAAACTGATGCGTCAGAATGTGATGTTCTGAAGTGTAAATGAAAAATCAAAAAGAGAAATATGGAAAAAATAGAGAGCATGGAATAAAGAGACCAAACAGGAATACATTCATGAATAAGTAATGATAAAATATTTGAATAAATATATTTGTAAGTGTACCGTTTGATGATGTGTAAATTTGGTAAACTTTTTTGTTTCAAAGGCAGTATAATCCATATTGTTTTAGGGTTATTTCAGGTTAGGCATGTCATATTTTAAGATATTGTTATTGTTTTTGTGGTTATGAGCTGACAGCAATATAGGCACGTAGAAACATAGACTTGGCTGAAGGCGAGTCTCTTATGACAACTGAGTTTCAATCATAGGAGGTTGGAGAAAGTCTGACCATAACAGTTGGCACAATTTTATTATAAATAAAAAAAATTTATGAAAAAAAAAGCGGAGAAGTTTAAGCTTCTCTGGGTCTTGTTTACGAGTGAGGGAAAGATGGAGCACGAGATCGATAGGCGGATTGTTGCGGCGTCTGCAGCGATGTGGGTGTTGCACCAAACTGTCGACGTGAAGAGAGAGCTGAGCTGGAAGGTTTTCTGGGCACGTCCAACCGGGAGGAGACCTAAAAGAAGACCCAGGACATTCTGGAGGGACTACGTCTCACAGCTGGCCAGGGAACACCTTAGGATCTCCCTGGAGGAGCTGGCCCAAGTAGCTGGAGAGAGGGAAGTTTGGGCCGCCCTGCTTAGGCTGCTGCCCTCCGTGACCCGACCCCAGATAGGCTCTCGAGGGACGTGGTCAAACGGCTTCTCTAAATCCACAAAACTCATGTAGGTTGGTTGGACGAACTCCCACGCACCCTCCCCCTAAGAGTATACAGCTGGTCCAGTGTTCCACGACTAGGACAAAAACCACATTGCTCCTCCTGAATCTGAGGTTCAACAATCCCACTGACCCTCCTCTCCAGGACCCCAGAATAGACCTTACCAGGAAGGCTCAGGAGTGTGATCTCCCTGTAGTTGGAACACACTCTGTGGTCCCCTAGAGGAACCACCACCCCAGTCTGCCAATCAAGTGGAACTGTTCCCGATGTCTAGGCAATACTGCAGTGCTGTGTCAACTAACACAACCCTACACGATCCAGTACCTTAAGGAACTCCGGAATGGATCTCATCCACCCCTGGGGCCTTGCCACCGGGGAGCTTTTTGACCACCTCACAGTGACCTCAGGCCCAGAGGTAGGAGAGGACTTTCAGAGAGATTTGACTTGCCAACTTGATAAGTAACACTTTGTTGGGTGTTTCGTGAACTTTTTGTTATGAATATGCATCAGTAAATAACCAGACTGCAGGTCAATACCAATGAACCCTGCCTACATACTGCTACTATAAGAAAAACGTTTCTGCAGCTGTCACAGTGAAGTTTATTTCTTATCTTATTGTAATTTAATTCTTATTAATTTGAGGGTATTGTGTATGTTAATTTAAACACTGACAAATATGTATGTATCTGTTCACTGAGCTCCATTGGCATCTTCTTGCTGCAAATATAAAATTCAAATCGCTAACACTACTAGAACAATGGTGTCCTTGTTGAATTTCAAGAAACTCCTGAAGACCCAGCTCTTCAGAGAGCATCTTCTAAACTAGGACCTTCCCTGCACCCGTCCCCCACACTACTGTCCACTCCTTGTTCACTTCTCTCTAGTACTCATTATGCTGCCTCACTGCTAGGCTGATTAGTGTTTGTTGTTGTGCCTCAAGGGCAACCTGCTGGCTTCATTATCACTTGTAAGTCACTTTGGACAAAAGCGTCTGCTGAATACATAAACATGAATCAAATCCAAATGTATTTGGAAAGAACATTTAAAGGCACAGTAAATAAAGTGTTGTTCAGTATATGAGAAAATAAAATGGAATGAGACTCAAATATTATTATGGATGCAATGATAAAACAAATTAAATATCAAAACATCAAAAGAAACACATCGATCACTGCACCATGAGGCCACTGAGAAAAGGGGAGATTTAAGAGGTCTTTCACTCATGTTTCGAATATATTTGCAGTGGTCTGTAGTGGGAATCAATGCCTTGTAAGTTGTACTCTGGGTACAAAAAGCCGTCATGCACCTGTTTCAGGATGGAAAATTCAGCCAGAAGGGAAAGTAGCTTCAGATGACATGTTTGGATTCTTATTTCCTGATATTTGGACATCTCATCTCTGACTGGCTAACAACAATGCGACTCTACCACTCACTCCGTTTGCTCTACAACGTTCATGTTTTAACTCCACAAATAACACAAGCCTGGATGTGTTCTGCTGTGTGGTGGAGTTGCTAATGCAACAATTAGCTTCTACTAGTCAAGATGTTCTCTGCTGTTTCCTGGACACTAAACTAACAACAACCCCCCCCGTCGTGAGTCAAGATGGGTGAGTCCATGAATGCTAGATGACAGTGTGACGTAGATCTGTCAGGCTTTTCAAATCCTAGATTTTCATTGTCTATTTTACATCACAAGTTAATGGGAGATAAATGTAGTTAAAATTTTCATGTTCAGCCTGCATGAAAAACTTAGATTGGCCATTTTTTTCAAAAGATTTAAGTAAAAATGGTTTCTCATTGATGGACCACTCTAAAAAGCAGGAAGAAAAGTTGCCTGTTTGATTTATAATGGTGACTAATTCCTGAGACTGGGTACCATTAAGAAAACTGTTACCTAGGGCTTCAGCTGCAAATTATAGTTGTAAAGTTGCTGTATAGTCATTATTTTGTCACTTGGAGGTTGAAAGCAGGCTGGCTTGATCTGAATATATGAGGAGTAGAGCTCCTTTCTGTTCACTGATGCGCGTGTGTGTGTGTGTGTGTGTGTGTGTGTGTGTGTGTGTGTGTGTGTGTGTGTGTGTGTGTGTGTGTGTGTGTGTGTGTGTGTGTGTGTGTGTGTGTGTGTGTGTGTCTCAGTGGGTGAGACAGAAGCCCTGCCTCACTCCGACGCTTCTGTTTCTCTCCGGTTTGTTTCGGCACGGTGGGACCGAACCGCTCCGCATTCCGCCTGTCAGCCCGTCCTCGCTTTGCTGACTCCACTGCCTACTACAGGAGTGTCTGTGATTGGCCCGTGCCTCGCTCCCTTCCCTCCCCTCCCGTGGTTGTATGTAAATCCGGCCGGGACCAGAGCAGCGGGTGAGGTTGGGGCTGGTGGCTCCTACCTCGGTGGCGCATTTGGAGCTGTCCCTTCCATCGTGGTGCTGAACTCTACAACCTCCTCCTGCCTCCCGTTTCCTCTCCGCCCACTGAACGGATTTACAACCTCGTCATCGGTCCAAACTTCCCTCTGTCCGCGCAGGGATTTTTCACCACACCACGCGTGGATTTGAGCCGAATACCATCCATCACACTTTGTTGAGAAGTGCTGCTTTAATCCACTCACTTCTAGACCTGTTTGGATTACCCTCCTGGATGTTTAACGTCTGTACACACAGGTAAGAACCGCTCGGTCCGGTTTGGTACTGTTCTGTTTGCTGTTGTGCACTAATTGTCCGAGCAGAACACCCTCCGTGAGAAGTCTCCCTCCCTGGCTGACTCGCTATCAGCAGCTTAACCCTCATCATCTGCGAGGCGCTGAGACTCTTTTCCAATAATCCAGCAGGTCACTCGCCGCTCCGCAGAAATATTGAATCTGCCGAGCTGCCGCCTGAAGCTTTTACCATTTCAATTTACCCGGCGCCAAGTCCGGGAGGCTCGAATCAGCTGATATGAGGGGATCTGAAGTTGAGATCAGAGTTGCTTTTATCCTGTCAGGGGATCAAAATTCAAGCACAACCCCTGTTGATGGAATGATTGGAGACACGCCACCTTGCCTACAGATTTTTATTCATCCGCTTTGTACTTGGTATGTTTTTTTCCCCTCCCTTTGGCACTCTAATCCTTTAGTGACACCGTTAGCGGCGGAGGGATTATACTTTTGTTTTTATCCTCAGCTTTGCGCCCGACTCATTTGGCTTTTGTATCACAAGCCCTTGCGCGGAAGACGCTCGTTAGTCATGATGTCTGGTAGTTTGCGAAATAAATTTCGGGTCATTTTTCTATGTCTCTCCGCAATGGCGCAGCAGATGGAGTTAAAGCCACCATAAACCAGATTAAATCCCGCTATTGATAGGAATTAAAGTTACTACGGGTCCCTATTGTATCCCTGTTGTTGTTGCTGGAAAAAAAACGACACAAGTTTAAGAAAAACAACAACATTAGAAATTGTACAGTTATTTTTGTCACAAAATACCAAAAGAAAGAAAGAAAATAACTCTAAAAGTTATTTCTCTCATTGTATTTCTATTTGTGACAATAAGAAGTAATAACGGATCATGATAAAGTAAAATTATCAGAGCAGCAGTGTCCCAGCCAAGCTAAGGATGAAATAAATTAGAATTTTACTTTTTATTCTCTCTCACATAATATCATAGCTTCCATCTTCTCTCTAAAAAAAACAAGTTATGTCAACTACTTCCACTAGTTGCCTAAATGTAAAAAGTAATACACATTTAACATAACAACATATAACAATGTATACTCACTACATTAAAGCATCCAGGTTCAGTGGAACCAATCAACATGGATCAGAACATTTCCTTTCTTACGGTTTATATTTAGCTCACAACGCTTTATTTAATGTAATTAATTTAGCTTATTTTCTGTTTAGAGGGCTGTAAATTTGTTTTTATTTTTATGGAAATACTCTGAATATCTCATCTTCTAGCGCGTGTCCACATTGTAACCTTTTAACTCCTTTTGAAATCATTGCATAAAGTGCGTTTCTATTCAGCAACCCTGAATCCGGTTTGCCTGGGGAATTTAGTCAAGAGCAAACCCTCGAAACAGATAAAAGAAATAATGTGGAGCAATGTTTGTCCTGATAGATAGTGCATATATGTGCACAGTCTGCTTTGTGTGCAGTTTTTTTGATTCTCAGGATTTTTCTCCCCTGTAAACAGACACAACAGTTTCCTTGAGTAAATTAAACAATAATTAGAATTCTTGTAGAGAATATGCGAAGGCTTCATAAATGATGCAATTTGAATATTCAGCCATCTGCAGGCCTCTACAATCCAACTCACATCCCTTTATCCAAGGAATATATTTACTTTATCTGTCAAAGCTCTTTGAAACCAGCAGATAGAATCTGTTTCCTTGGTGCATTAGATGCAGATTTAGTTTTTCAGCTCTGTTCTTATTAACTGATTCTCTACTTGAAGGGGATAAGTAATGCGTCATTTAAATGGCTTATACACAAAGTTTGGTAAGAACACTAAATAACATGCACATGATTTGCTTTGTGGAAATGTTGAAATGGAGCAAATATAATTTATTTACTGTAAATCTCTGATTTTCTTAGACGTTGCTGAATAATAGTGTTCAGAAACCACAGTGACTAAGCTAAACAGCAGCTCTCGGAATATTCCTACCAGGAAAAACACTTCTCCCGAATGTACAAAGACCAGAACAAAAAAGTCTTCTCACTCCGTCTTTTTTATCCAATAAAGCCATTTAATAACAGGTGGGGAATAGGTGCTGCCTGCCGAGCAGGTATAGAGTTAATGGAGTTGCTCTGCTTTTCATTACAATGACTTCCATTCGATCACCACGGGGGAAGCAAAGATTTCTGAGTCAATAAGTCTTTTTTTTCACCAAGCGAAAGGAAGAAAAGCTGGGGAACTGATCAAAGCATTTCAAAGATTTGAGTGGAAAATTGCTCTATATGTGAGGGTGTGGGCGCCCCGTGCTGGTAGTTGGTAATGGGAGGGGTAGGGCAGATTTCAATGATATGAAAGCAAAGCTGTGTGTTTGGGAGGGTAAACTGCCACCATTTGAAGGTTTCACAGAGATCTCAGGTGTTCTAACATTTCAGCGGGTTGCCCTCTGAGATGTCTTCATAAGTTTTTTTTGAGCGCAAGGTGATTTTAAAAAAAAACATTTTTTGACATTTTTGCAGCTCACGGCCAAATCAGCTCTAAAAAGCAAATCTCTTCCACCTGTGTCCACCCATGACAACTGTGTTGCCTATAGTGTCAGTTGTCTCAGAGTGTGTGGGGATTGAAGCTGTACAGGCTGTCATTTACAGACTAGATGGAGCTGGCCAAAAGCTTCATCCTAACACTGAACTCAATGTGATCAAAGCAGCTACACTGTAAAATCAAGTCTGTTGGAAATAATTGGTTCAAATAACAAAGTTTTTGTTTAACAAACATGTCTAAATTTATCATGATCATTTTGAAACATTATTAATTCCAAGTGTGGTTTCATTGGTGTGATGCAGGTAAGTGGAACGTTGGAGAAGGTCTTTTAAAGTTTTGTCAAATGTCTCGTTTGCATTTACTGTTCACAGAAGCTGTTTAATAATTATGGTTTAAAAGAGTTAACAAAGCCTGTGAGGAATCTAAATTTCAAACATTTTCTGTTTAAATTTTGATATTCCTCTTGTTTGTTTTTTTGTTTCATCACTCTCTCCTCCCCACTTCAGCGCTGACACTTGTAACATCTCTTTCTCTCTGTTTCATCTCCCACTTCTCTCTCTTAGCCGAGCTTTAACTGCTGCCATCTCCCATCTGTGTCTCCGTGTCTGTCTTTGTTGTTACTTTCTTCAGTACGAGGAATCTTTATTGTGCAGTAGACCCACAAACTTTGAGGTGTGTTATTCTGCTGCCACGTTTTAGAGACACTGACATTCCTCTCTCCTGGCACGCTGTGGTTCGTTTGATGATGTGAAAAAAACAACTTTTTTTTTCTCCTTTGCGGTGCACAAAGCATTTCTCTTTCATAGGACCTCAATGTTGCTTTAAAGATGCAAGTAGAAACACAAAACTAAACAAAACAAAACTCTTCTCATCACCTTTTACTGTAGCAACTTTCTGTGATGATCTGGGACAACATCAACTCTGTCAGAATCAAACCAGCAACATATCCACAGATTCACACTTATTTTCTTTGCTTTTAGAACCAATGTGAAGTTTGCAGAAGGACACTCAGTCTTCTGACTGTTCCACCTGCTCCAGATTAGGGAATCATGACCTTTTCCTTTTCACGTCTTGACAGAACACCAAGTGTAATGTTAAGGTGTGATTCTTTCATACAGAGCTGCAGAAAAAGGGCTTTGTGAATTACTGAATGAAGGCAGCTCCTTGGCAGATGGTCAGAGCGTAATGGAAGTAGCAGAGCCCTTAAGGGTGAGAGCTACTAGGCCTGAGGTCTCTGTTTAAATCCTGTGGAGGATGCTGATGGCATATAAGGTCTGAATCACTGTGAAATATTTGAACTGTTAAAGGATGATGTAATCAACTTTAAAAAGAGACATGAACCAGGATTGCAAAAACTTCATACCATCATTGTTTACTATAAGTATACTGCATTTTATTGGCCAAAAGAAGAGAAAATAATAAAACAGAATAAATAATGCTGTTGCAAGATCGGTAAAACAACTTGAAAACATTTGTCTACAATTTTCCCAATTTATTCCAACCAATACAGCCAAGCTCCCAGTAGACCGCATGGGTCATTCATAACTGCCAAAGTATATAGTTTCGATCCAGGGCTTGTTGTCGTGATTTAACTTTTACGGCATAATCACTTTGAGAAAAACCTTGTTCTCGATTTCTTTGGGAAAGTCTAATCATCCAATCCACCATGCCACTCATCATGAATGAATACCAGCAGGAGGACACTGAATGGGGACTTGGCACCATCCTTCTGCTCCAATGTGTAACTGTTTTCTTACACAGACCTTGTAAGTTTTACCTCAGAGAAAAGATAACTACTCAGACTTTCCAAGTCCAGCAAAAGCACTTTAACAGCAGAGAAATAAGGGACCCAACACAGAAGTCCTTGCTTTTTGTGTTATGTTCAGTAAGAGGCCTTAACCCTGGGAGTGATTTGGACATCCGAATTTTGACCATTTTTCTAATATATATTTCTAAATTCACATACGACTTATGGAAGCAGATTTCAATTTACATTGTGTATTTTCCCTGGCGATGGGGGGCAGTACATAGCTAAATCATTGCAAACAAGCAGCATTTTTAAGGTACGGCCTTAAAAAGGGCCAAAAGGGTCAAAAATCCCTGGGAGCACAACTTCCAGCAAAATAACAAGCACATCAGACTCCCTTTCATCACTGACAACGAGTGAAGAGGTAAATGCTTAAAACAACAATATTTATGAATGGCTAAAGTTTTGTAACTCTTTTTTACAAACCAGTAAATGCATTTTGTCCTCATGGGCTCCTGTAAAAGGAAACATGACGTCTAAAATGTTGTCACCCTAAGACTTAGGCCCGCTTCCATGTATTTTAGACCTGCTTTTATGGTTATATGTTACAAAGCTGCCAACATTTAAAAAAACTGGGCATTGTTTAATTCATTTTCAACAACATTGATGAATATTTCTAGAGATTAACTGTAAAAAACTACACGTCTCATGAAAGAGCAAGTTCACA